TCAGAGGACCAGTGGTCAACAGAGGGGATTGTGGGTATCATTAATACAGTTCTTGCTTTTTCATGATACATAACGTGTGTGTGTGTGTGTGTTACCTTGAACAGACATCCCTTGTGCGTCAGTGTAGATTGGGGGTCCGGGAGGCCCCTGTTCTCCCTGTTCGCCCTAAAAACAAACAGATGAAAATAACATGTATTTACTTCATCACCCCCTACTGGCAGACTGGAGCCTTGCAACTCAAACCCTCAGAACAAGATTACACAATTCTGATCTTTATCCACATATTATTGGTCTTTTGACCAATCAGATCTGCTCTTCTACCAATAATTGGGCAAAAGATCAGAATTGGGCTGCCTGTGTAAATGCAGCCAATATTACATGACATTCAATTTGTATCAAGTACACAGTCATTTATTAATTTCAGAAAAATGTGTTTTGTCCCTCTTGGCTTACCTTAGGTCCTCTGTAGCCTGGTTGGCCGGGGAACCCTGGACTTCCTATGAATCCCTTTGTGGGAGAGAGATGAATTGGTTCATTCATCTGTTTATAAATCAATGTATTATTTGATTGAAGTGTATAATATGTGTGTGTGTCTGTGTGTGTGTGTCCTACCTGTCTTCCTTGAGATCCGGGAGGCCCGTTAAAACCAGGAGGACCCTGCCAAGAGAGAAACAAGAAGGCCGCCAGAGAATAGTTTAGAATCAGAGTTAAGAATCCCAAACAGCACAACAACACACTGGGTGTATTCCAATAATACCTATCTGGTGTGTGTGTGTGTACCTCCTACAAATCTAAAAGCATTCTATTGGTAGAGGTATGGACTAGTAGGAGTTTCCACCATATTTATTATACCAGTCATTTCCTTTCAAATCAGTAAAGGGAAGTGAACAAGTGCACACTTTGGGATGAAGGAGAGATAATTGAGACATTATCAGACGTAGAAGGAGGTGAGGAGCTTACCCGTCCCCCTGGATACCCCAAAATTCCATTCTCTCCCACCTCGCCAGGATAGCCAAAAGGACCCTGGCAACAGACGTATGGGTCAAACATTTACAACATACTTACTGCTTGCTAAATGACACACTATTCCCTATGTACTCTACTTACTACTTTATAGGGGCAATCTGCAGTTCAAACAATAACAAAGCAACCACCCAGCCACTGAGTTGGTAAAAAGCTGATGGATGGGGTTGGAGAAATGTAGAAATCATAGACAGAGCTATAGATGCAAGGACTGACCATCCATGATATCAAAATTATAGTTTTAACCTTGTATACAGTGGTTGTTTACAAAGGAGTAAAACAAGCTTTATTTTGGGTTTTGATGGGTTAAGATAATTTATCTAGGTTCATGTAGCATTTATAAGTTATATTCTTCAAGAATGAATGGGTATATATCATGAATTTGAAGTCCAAAAATGTATAATAATAATAATAATATGCCATTTAGCAGACGCTTTTATCCAAAGCGACTTACAGTCATGCGTGCATACATTTTTGTGTATGGGTGGTCCCGGGGATCGAATGTAGCAATGGCAGATTGCCCCTTTAAGGCTCCGGTCAAAAGTAATGCAGTATTAGGGAATATGGTGCCATTTGGGACACACTAACTGTTTGAAGCATTAACAGTGACAGTACATTCTCCATTTTAGTTGAAATAGCATTGCTTATACTCTCCCGCAAATAGCTATTCAATTAAATCAATATTTACTGTCCCCAACAGACAAGACAGACACACTTACAGGTGGGCCAGGTCTACCAGTTGGTCCACGCACTCCTTTGTAACCCCCTTCCCCCTAAGAAAGAGAGAGAGAAAGAGAAGGGGGGAGGAGAGAGACAGAGAGAGAGAGACAGAGAGAGAGAGACAGAGAGAGAGAGAGAGACAGAGAGAGAGAGAGAGAGAGAGACAGAGAGAGAGAGAGAGAGAGAGAGAAAGCAGGGAAGAGAAAAGCAAAAGGAAAAGTTACAGAAACAAAATGGAAACCCCACAGTTGTCCTCACTGGAGGAAAGTCCAGACGCCATCATTCAGGGAAAAACAAAATAGCATAAAACAGGTTACATAACAGCAATGACTGATGAAAACGTTTCACTGCTAATGCTTATGTCTTATGTACACTTAGAATAAGTGGTACTAAAGCATCCGATTGACTGAGTATAGTAACATTAGTAAAGCCTCTATGTAAACATGTGTATGACGCAAACAGAAGATACTCTTCACATAACAGTACTGACTGATATCCGCTGATTTTTGTTGTCTTTCAATGCTACATACAGTGGGGAAAAAAAGTATTTAGTCAGCCACCAATTGTGCAAGTTCTCCCACTTAAAAAGATGAGAGAGGCCTGTAATTTTCATCATAGGTACACGTCAACTATGACAGACAAATTGAGAGAAAAAAATCCAGAAAATCACATTGTAGGATTTTTTATGAATTTATTTGCAAATTATGGTGGAAAATAAGTATTTGGTCAATAACAAATGTTTCTCAATACTTTGTTATATACCCTTTGTTGGCAATGACACAGGTCAAACGTTTTCTGTAAGTCTTCACAAGGTTTTCACACACTGTTGCTGGTATTTTGGCCCATTCCTCCATGCAGATCTCCTCTAGAGCAATGATGTTTTGGGGCTGTCGCTGGGCAACACAGACTTTCAACTCCCTCCAAAGATTTTCTATGGGGTTGAGATCTGGAGACTGGCTAGGCCACTCCAGGATCTTGAAATGCTTCTTACGAAGCCACTCCTTCGTTGCCCGGGCGGTGTGTTTGGGATCATTGTCATGCTGAAAGACCCAGCCACGTTTCATCTTCAATGCCCTTGCTGATGGAAGGAGGTTTTCACTCAAAATTTCACGATACATGGCCCCATTCATTCTTTCCTTTACACGGATCAGTCGTCCTGGTCCCTTTGCAGAAAAACAGCCCCAAAGCATGATGTTTCCACCCCCATGCTTCACAGTAGGTATGGTGTTCTTTGGATGCAACTCAGCATTCTTTGTCCTCCAAACACGACGAGTTGAGTTTTTACCAAAAAGTTATATTTTGGTTTCATCTGACCATATGACATTCTCCCAATCCTCTTCTGGATCATCCAAATGCACTCTAGCAAACTTCAGACGGGCCTGGACATGTACTGGCTTAAGCAGGGGGCACTGCAGGATTTGAGTCCCTGGCGGCGTAGTGTGTTACTGATGGTAGGCTTTGTTACTTTGGTCCCAGCTCTCTGCAGGTCATTCACTAGGTCCCCCCGTGTGGTTCTGGGATTTTTGCTCACCGTTTTTGTGATCATTTTGACCCCACGGGGTGAGATCTTGCGTGGAGCCCCGAATCGAGGGAGATAATCAGTGGTCTTGTATGTCTTCCATTTCCTAATAATTGCTCCCACAGTTGATTTCTTCAAACCAAGCTGCTTACCTATTGCAGATTCAGTCTTCCCAGCCTGGTGCAGGTCTACAATTTTGTTTCTGGTGTCCTTTGACAGCTCTTTGGTCTTGGCCATAGTGGAGTTTGGAGTGTGACTGAGGTTGTGGACAGGTGTCTTTTATACTGATAACAAGTTCAAACAGGTGCCATTAATACAGGTAACGAGTGGAGGACAGAGGAGCCTCTTAAAGAAGAAGTTACAGGTCTGTGAGAGCCAGAAATCTTGCTTGTTTGTAGGTGACCAAATACTTATTTTCCACCATAATTTGCAAATAAATTCATTAAAAATCCTACAATGTGATTTTCTGGATTTCTTTTTCTCAATTTGTCTGTCATAGTTGACGTGTACCCATGATGAAAATTACAGGCCTCTCTCATCTTTTTAAGTGGGAGAACTTGCACAATTGGTGGCTGACTAAATACTTTTTTTCCCCCACTGTAAATCCTGTTCTTTACTTTGTATTCTGTGTGCAACAACTGATATAATAACATAAAGTAAGAAAAAAACCAACTCAATAATAACTGCAGTATCACATTGCGGTGGGATGGGGGTGTATAATGGGATAACGGAACGGGACACGGACACTGGGGGGAGGGAAGGGTCGGGGGGGGGGCACTTTATGACACTCCAGGAGCCAGCCAGCAAGCCAGCTATAGGTGGGGTATAGTATCACCACCACCTTCCACCACCCACCCCCCACCACGGCTCGACTCCATGCCAGGATGGAGCAACCCGGCTGGGGGAGAGTGGGTCGGCTGCCCTCCTTTCTGGAGCCCTGGAGCTCTTGAACGTGTGTTTCTCTCATCACAAACCTTTGTTCCTTTGTCTCCTTTAGGAAAGCCCACAAACTCCACCACTCCACTGACCAAGGGCCTGCCTGGGTCTCCCTGCGGGCCCACATCGCCCTGGGTAACGGTAACCAAGGGAGAGAGAGTTTTTACATGGCAACACGATGGGGGTTGAGGGAGAGGAGGGTTGGAGGAGAGGAGGGTGGGGGGATGGGAGAGGGGATTTTTTTGGGTGGTGGCAACGGCGGTTGTTGTTTTCAGGTAGGTTTGGAGGGAGGGGGTGGAGGGTTGGTCTAGAGAGAGGAGGGGGTGGGGGTAGTTGGAGGGACGGACTGTGTGTGACCCTAGGAGGGGTGGTAGTGTAGGGGGGTGGGGAGGTTCGGGCAAGGTAGAGTTTGGCGGGTGGGGGGGGGGATATGAAGGGCCGGTCACTCACACAAGTATACTATCCCTTCCCCTATTACGATACGTTTTTACATCCCTCGTTATTATTCCTTATGTCATCCACAGCAAACAGTACAGCTGCTGATTATTTGCCTCATACTTGCTTTGGAGAGCTGCCCAACCCCTGTGCTTTGTAGTGCTACACCACAAGCAGAAGGACATTAGTTTGGCAAGATGGAGGCAAGTCAACATCAGGTTATCTGTCAACATCAACTTTCACCCTCCATGGTGTTTTGTGATACAACTTTCCATAATATATAATCAAGTATGTGGAATAACTGGTGGCTGTCATTGAAATATGTTTTTTGTGATTCTGTGTCTTGGACCAGCCTCTCGTCCCCTCTCTACCCCCCCGTCTCTCCTCCCTCTCTCTCACCCCTCCAGCGGGCGGGGACCACTGCTCCTGTCTGTGTTACCTTAGCTCCTTTGTAGATAGTGGTAACAGTTGCGCCTACTAGCGGCTCGTCGCCGGGCACGCCTCGGGGTCCTGGCTGACCTGCGTCGCCCTGGTGATCCAGAGGACAACACATGTCAGTCAGTCATTATTAGCCAATCATACGGGAGGATGAGGAGGTTGGAGGTTGAAGGGGGCGGGAGGAAGTTGGAAGGTTGAGAGCAAATGGGGGGGGGGGGGAATAGAGGAGAGTGAGAGGTGGCGAGAGAGAGAGACGGAAAGAGAGAGGACCAGGGAGAAAGAGGGGCAAAAGGAGAGGGTTGAAGAAGGAGAGGGAGGTGGTAGAAATAGGAAAATAGGGGAAAGAGAGAGCGGGAGAACACATTAAAGAAAAAGAGAGAGATAGGAAAGGTGATCAAATGAAATGAAGATGAAAAGATGGTGAGGAAAAGAGAAAGATAGAGAGACTCAAAGTGAGAGTGAGAAGTAGGGGATGAGATGGTGGGATTGCATAAGAGTCGTTCCACCAATTCAGTGCCTTTTGAGAAGTGTAACTTGGTATAAAAAAAGATATACAGTACCAGTCAAAAGTTTGGACACACCTACTCCTTCCAGGGTTTTTCTTTACTTTTACTATTTTCTACATTGTAGAATAATAGTGAAGACATCAAAACTATGAAATAACACATATGGAATCATGTAGTAACCAAAAAAGAGTTAAACAAATCAAAATATATTTGATATTTTAGATTCTTCAAATAGCCACCCTTTGCCTTGATGACAGTTTTGCACAAACTTGGCATTCTCTCAACCAGCTTCATGAGGAATGCTTTTCCAACAGTCTTGAAGGAGTTCCCACATATGCTGAGCACTTGCTGGGATGGCGTATCGCTGCAGAATGCTGTGGTAGCCATGCTGGTTAAGTGTGCCTTGAATTCTAAATAAATCACAGACAGTGTCACCAGCAAAGGACCCCCACACCATCACACCTCCTCCTCCATGCTTCACGGTGGGAACCACACATGCGGAGATCATCCGTTCACCTACTCTGCGTCTCACAAAGACACTGCGTTTGAAACCAAAAATCTCAAATTTGGACTCTCAAATTTGGACCAGTGGTCTAATGTCCATTGCTCATGTTTCTTGGCCCAAGCAAGTCTCTTCTTATTATTGGTATCCTTTAGTAGTGGTTTCTTTGCAGCAATTCGACCATGAAGGCCTGATTCTCCTCTGAACAGTTGATGTTGAGATGTGTCTGTTACTTGAACTCTGTGAAGCATTTATTTGGGCTGCAATCTGAGGTGCAGTTAACTCTAATGAATGTATCCTCTGCAGCAGAGGTAACTCTGGGTCTTCCTTTCCTGTGGGGGTCCTCATGAGAGCCATTTTCATCATAGCGCTTGATGGTTTTTGCGACTGCACTTGAAGAAACTTTAAAAGTTCTTGAAATGTTCCGTATTGACTGACCTTCATGTCTTAAAGTAATGATAGGCTGTTGTTTCTCTTTGCTTATTTGAGCTGTTCTTACCATAATATGGACTTGGTATTTTACCAAATCTATCTTCTGTATACCAACCCTACCTTGTCACAACACAACTGGTTGGCTCAAACGCATTAAGAAGGAAATTAAATCCACAAATTAACTTTTAACAAGGCACACCTGTTAATTGAAATGCATTCCAGGTGACTACCTGTCACGCCCTGACATAGAGATCTCTAGTTGGTTTGGTCAGGGTGTGACTATCTATGTGTAATTCTAGAATGTGTATATCTATGTTGGCCGGGTGTGGTTCCCAATCAGAGGCAGCTGTCGATCGTTGTCTCTGATTGGGGATCATACTTAGGCAGCCATGTTGCCTACCTTAGTTGTGGGATCTTGTTTCTGTTTTGGCTTGTTTATGTAGCCATTAGAACGTCACGTTACGTTGCTTTTGTCGAGTGTTTACTTCTTTATTAAACATGTACGCATACCACGCTGCACCGTGGTCTGATCCTTTACACAACGAACGTGACACTACCTCATGAAGCTGGTTGAGAGAATGCCAAGGGTGTGCAAAGCTGTCATCAAGGCAAAGGGTGGCTACTTTGAAGAATCTCAAATATAAAATATATTTTGATTTGTTTAACACTTTTTTGGTTACTACATGATTCTATATCTGTTATTTCATAGTTTTGATGTCTTCACTATTATTCTACAATGTAGAAAATAGTAAAAATAAAGAAAAACCCTGGAATGAGTAGGTGTGTCCAAACTTTTGACTGGTACTATACATATTTCACCAAATTTAAATATTCAGTCATAAATTACTACAGTATGTGCCTACACCGCACATACACAGTGGTGAAGGAGGCACGACAACGACTCTTCAACCTCCCCAGAGGGCCCTCACAGTGTTCTACAGGAGCATCATCGAGAGCATACTGTCGGGCTGCATCACAGCCTGGTATGGAAACTCCACCACTGCGGACCACAAGGCGCTACAGAGGATGGTACGCTCAGCTGAACACACCATTGGGTGCACAATGCCTGCCCTCCAGGACAGCTACAACACCAGGTGTCACAGGAAGGCCAAGAAGATCATCAGGGATCCCAGCCACCTGAGCCATGGCCTGTTCTGCCCGTTTCCATCACTAAGACGCGGGCCGTATAGGAGCATCATGGCAAAAACTGGAAGACTGGCCAATAGCTTCTACCCACAGACCATCAGGCTGCTGAATAGCCACCCCTAGTCAGTTACCTTTGTCATGCATTGTTGGAGCTCAATAATCTCACTGTACCCTGTAATTACACGTGACTATTAAACTCTTTAATCTAATTTAATTTAAGTGCCAAATAAAGTAACAGGGTTGGCGATTTCATCTTAAATCATCTCTAAATCCCTTTGTGACACGGGGAATTGTAGAAATTGTTGTGTACAAAAGGGAGTGGCAATTGAATGCAAGCGTCACATTTTTTTTTAGCAAGCCTTTATTCATATAAAAAATCTGATTTATTGAATTCTCCGTGTGGTCTATATTAAAAGGCACTTCATTTAATATAACAGGCTTTTACAATTCAATATTGGTTCACAATTTCTACTTAAAATATCAAAGGAATGCAAAAGGCACCCATTTCGTGGAACAACCCATTAGCGAAGAAGGGGGGATAGGAGTGAAGGAGTAACAGAAAGAGTGTGAGGGAGATTGATCAAGAGAGAATGGTAGAGAGAATGGGAGAGAAAGAGGGGGATTGATAAAGAGAGAAAGGGAGAGAGAGCTCTGGGCTACTTTATCTTTCTTCCAATACATCACTGAGAAGAAAACAATTTAGAGAGCAATTTCCTCAGGCCAAAACAGAAAATATATAATATAGAAAAAATGGAATAAAGGGATAAATAACTGACTTTACTAACATTTTTGCTGATCATCTATTCCAAAGGCTTATCAGTGAATCTAACTGTTCCTCTTTCAACACGACTTCCAATTAGTAGTTTGTTATTGTTGTTGTTGTTTGTTTGTTTGTTTGTTGTTGTTGGGGGGTTGAACAACAAGATACATGCAGGGAGGAGAAGATGGCAAGATGGCGGATTTATCCATTGATGGACCGATGGTGAATGTTAGTGGGTCATTCATTCTCACTGGTGGTCAAATGGAATGGATACTGAATACTGAGGCAAAACTCCCATGATGTTCCAGCACCACCATGCCCAAATAAGGCCAAAGGAAAATAACGCCGCACAGGAAGCAGGAGCAAGTGATTCCAGCACCAATCACAGACCACGACACGCCCACCCACATGACAGCTCAGAGATCTTATTGGTGGAAATATAATACAATAACATGCATTTTATAGGCGGAATAAAATACAATACAGAATGAATATTATTAGTTGGGAATCTTATAGATACAGTATGCTATATGTTATTGTCTGTTTCTACCAACTAAAAGTAGTCTTAGTACAGACATAATAAAGATGCCATTTAGCAGATGCTTTTATCCAAAGCGACATACAGTATGTAACTTCTGTAAAGAGTCCATAAATGATTGACTTTTATAGGGGTGATGGAAAGATCTCGAATAATCTCTGAGCTGCCATCCAACAGTAAGGAAACATGTTATTTTAGTAATGCCACAGGACAACTGTCCATTCCTCCAATTACATCTTAGATTGTGATCTTTTTCGATCAGATTTGTTAGAGTTCAGATTCAGAATGAGAAACCAAATGGCCGCCTACATAGGGCTCTAGTCGTACCAGTGGCAGTACTGTCATGCATTTATAAACACACCAGGGGTAAACTGTAAAATCATTGAAGACAAGATCATATTTTAATAATAGAGATGGAACAAACCAGAGGAGGCTGGTGAGGGGAGGATGGCTCCTAATAATGACTGAAATGGAGTGAATGGAATGGTATCAAACACATGGAAACCATGTAATAATACCATTCCACTCTTTCCATTCCAGCCATTACAATGTGCCCATCCTCCCATACCTCCACCCACTCGCCACCACTGATACTGGTGATATGTTGAGGTAGATGTGTCAGTGGAAAAACCAGAGAGAAGAGGGGGATGAGGGAGGAGGTTAGGAGAGATGGAGAGAGGGATGGAGGGAGGGTTGGGGCTAAAGGGTAATGTATTGTTGGATGTATATAAGGGCCAGGGGGGTGGGCGGGGATGGGAGGGGGTTGAATAGAGGGGAATAGGATGTGTCAAACCATCACCAAGAAAGATTACATGGCATGCACACAGAAGTCAAAAAGACATCCTTAATCATGCATTTCAACCATCCTCAACACGCACGCACACATTGCACGCGCATGCACACGCACACGCACACACACACACACACACAGGACACAGCTAGAATAACCTAAGCCGGCTGTCTTCAGTTTGATCTAATTTGATCTACAGTGAGGATAAAGTTGCCAGTCTCCCTCCCATTGGGAAAGACATATACTGTAGATAAAAATGGGCACTGTTCAAAAGTAGTTCACTATATAAGGAATAGGCTGCCATTTGGGATGCATCTTATGTCATATTAGACTCTTTCAACATTCTAAAGCTAGCTAGACAAATGATTTACTTTCTAAAGTGTATTTATGGTTGAGAGGAGTGACCAAATAGGAACCTAAAATGTAATAAACTGATGTAATAAATAAATTACTTCTCAATATATCTGAAATCTAATGAGTGATAAGAAGCGGTACATTAGGTATGGTTGGACAGGGTGGTGGGGGGGTGGAGAGTTCTGGTTGGGTGGGGTGAGCAAATAGGATGCTAAAGACCTATTAAACTGATATGATTAATAGATTACTAATCAATACAATCGAATCATTAACATCTAATAATTGGGAAATCAAATCATTCTAGTTCTGTTGTTTTGTTGGTGCATACCTTGTCTCCTGGCTCCCCCTGAAACCCTAGACTGGGGCTCCCCTGGAAAACAAGAGTGGGTATTGCATTTGGACAACAACACATCGCCCTACACATGACAAGCATTGTACAATAGTATGGATGTAACTATACTGAACAAAAATATACACGCAACATGTAAAGTGTTGGTCCCATGTTTCATGAGCTGAAATAAAAGATCCCAGAAATGTTCCATACGCACAAAAAGCTTATTTCTCTCAATTGTTTTATTTACATCCCTGTTAGTGAGCATTTCTCCTTTGCCAAGATAATCCATCCACCTGACAGGTGTGGCATATCAAGAAGCTGATTAAACAGCATGATCATTACACAGGTGCACCCTGTGCTGGGGACAATAAAAGGCCACTGTAAAATGTGCAGTTTTGTCACACAACACAATGCCACAGATGTCTCAAGTTTTGAGGGAACGTGCAATTTGAATGCTGACTGCAGGAATGTACACCAGAGCTGTTGCCAGAGAATTGAATGCTTATCTACCATAAGCCGCCTCCAACATCGTTTTAGAGAATTTGGCAGTACGTCTAACCGGCCTCACAACCGCAGACCACGTGTAACCACACCAGCCCAGGACCTCCACATCCGGCTTCTTCACCTGCGGGATCGTCTGAGATCAACCACCCGGACAGCTGATGAAACTGAGGAGTATTTCTGTCTGTAATAAAGCCCTTTTGGTCCTGGCTGCCCAGTGGGAGGCCCTGGCTCCCAAGTGGGTGGGCCTATGCCCTCCCAGGCCCCTGCCCAGTCATGTGAAATCCATAGATTAGGGCCTAACTTATTTCAATTGACCGATTTCCTTATATGAACTGTAACTCAGTAAAATCGTTGAAATTGTTGCATGTTGTGTTTATATTTTTGTTCAATATATATGAAGTCGAAGTAACAGTCTCCATATAAGTCACCAGTAACAAAAGTCCCCAATATGGACTGAATATACATGTCATTTGTTGGCAAAAACTCAGAATGAACAACAGACAATCTCCATTATGACAAAGGCAACATGAAGTACACAGCTTTTAGTTATTTAGTACACACACTCCCCCCTATCTGTTTGGTGGTGTCATTACACTGTCTCCACCATAGAGATCCTTATACATTTTTATGGAGCAGACAGGCTGTCTCTGAGGTCAGTATGGTGTCCATATTAGGACAGCTTCAGTCTGAGCAGGACTTTCAGGTCAGGTGTCTAGTGTTGCAGTGGTGTAAAGTACTTAAGTAAACACGTAATACTTTAAAATACTTAAGTATTTTTGGGGGGTATATGTACTTTACTATTTATATTTTTGACTACTTTTACTTTTACTCCACTACATTCCTAAAGAAAATAATGTTCTTTTTACTCAATACATTTCCCCTGACACCTAAAAGTACTTGTTACATTTCTAATGCTTATCAGGACAGCAAAATTGTACAATTCACACACACTGGCAGAATCACTAAACACAAATGCTTCGCTATAAATTATGTCTGAGTGTTGGAGTATGCACCTGACTATACGTACATAAAAAAAAAAAAATTGAAAATCGTGCTGTCTGGTTTGCTTAATATAAGGAATGTGAAATTATTTATACTTTTACTTTTGATACTTAAGTACATTTTAGCAATTACATTTACTTTTGATACTTAAGTATATTTAAAACCAAATACTTTTAGAATTTTACTCAAGTAGTACTGTATTTTGCTGGGTGACTTTTACTTGAGTAAAAAGTATGACAATTGGGTACTTTTTCCACCACTGTAGTGTTGTCCGGTACTTACTACAGGGCCAGGGGCATCATGTTAGCAGAGCATGAAAACTCCAGGCCTATAACTACTGTAGGATCAGGAGTTTTCCCCTATCTAGTGTTGTGCAGTACTTACTACAGGGCCAGGGGGACCGGGGGGGCCTGGAGCACCCTGGAGAAAAACAACACAACACACAGACAGGAAGTCAGTTGGAGAGAAGACTGATCTATTATATCTATTAGATTCTATTGTAAAATAGAGTCATCAACAGACAATAAGAGCGGTATATTCCCCCAAGTCACTTTAGTCTTACTAACAAATGTGTAGATTAAACATGACAAACACTCGGTGTAATGCGATGGTTGCTATGACAAAGTAGCTTCTGTAATATATTGAGTACATACAGTATATTCATGGTATACTGTATCTAGATCAACATAGACAGGTGTGTGTGTGTGTGTGTGTGTGAGAGCGTGCGTACGTTTGTGTGTGTGTGCGTGCGTGCGTGTGTGCGTGTGTGTGTACGTACAAGGAATCCATCAGGACCTCTGGGGCCGAAGTCACCGGGACCTCCGTCTGGACCTCTAGGACCCTGAGGAGAGAAACATAACGCAGAGAAGATGGTCAGGAACACAGAACACATAGAACCCTTTGGAACCCGGTCAGGAACTCACCAAATGATCAACTACACCACATATACACAACGAAATACAGTATATTGATGTATAGTAATTAAATGTCTTACAGGTACACCATCCGGTCCAGGCCGACCAGGAACTCCCTGTAAGGAAACAAGATAAACTGTGAGCTAAACAACTGGCCCTAGTTCATTATAAACATAGACTTGGGAGAAAGAGGGAGGAAGGAAGGAGAGTCTGTTTCAGGTCAGACTGACCTCAACGGATGAGATTATAGAAACAACATCATCTCCCTTTCTCTAAACAGTCTCCAGGATAGGAAAGATGAGAGGGAGAGGCAGGAATGTCAAAGTCTTCCTGATAACATTCTTCTGTGTGTGTGTGTGTTACCCCACTGAGTCCAACGTATACAGGCTCTCCCTTCTGTCCTTTAGGACCTGTAGGCCCCTGATGGAGAACGAGAGAGAGATCATATCACATTAAAGTCAGTAACCCTCCGGCTGCCAGCTCATTCCATGCAGACTTTCCCCCGAGTCAGCTCAGGGATTCAAACCGGTAACCTTTTGGTTACCGGCCCAGCGTTCTAACCGTAAGGCTATCACCGCCACCTGTTACTAGATGACTCTTGTTACAGTCATTTGGTACTGATGTAAATGATAGTTGCTACTCACAGCAAATTGAGTTTGGTCCAACAAGCACTAAACTAGATAATTCCTCTTACAGTACAGAGATACTCTACAATACTGATAATGAGAACAATAATAATATATGACATTTAAGGAGCCTTCAGAAAGTATTCATACCCCTTGACTTATTCCACATTTTTTTGTGTTACAGCCTGAATTCAAAATTGATTAAATATATATTTTTATCTCACCCATCTACAGACAATACCCCATAATGACAAAGTGAAAACATGTATTTAGAAATATTTGCAAATGTATTTAAATGAAATATCTCATTTACATTAGTATTCACACCCCTGAGTCAATACATGTTAGAATCACCTTTGGCAGCGATTACAGCAGTGAGTCTTTCTGGGTAAGTCTCTAAGAGCTTTGCACACCTGGATTGTACAATATTTGCACATTATTATTTTTCAAAATTCTTCAAGCTCTGTCATCTTGGTTGTTGATCATTGCTAGACAGCCATTTTCAAGCCGATTTAAGTCAAAACTGTAACTAGGCCACTCAGGAACATTCAATATCGTCTTGGTAAGCAACTCCAGTGTATATTTGGCCATGTGTTTTAGGCTATTGTCCTGCTGAAAGGTGAATTTGTCTCCCAGTGTCTGTTGGAAAGCAGACTGAACCAGGTATTCCTCTATGATTTTGCCTTTGCGTAGCAAAAAAGATGACAAGCATACCGATGACAAGCATACATATAACATGATGTAGCCACCACCATGCTTGAAAATATGAAGAGTGGTACTCAGTGATGTGTTGTGTTGGATTTGCCCCAAACATAACACTTTATATTCAGGACATAAAGTTAATTTCTTTGCCACATTTTTTTGAAGTATTACTTTAGTGCCTTATTGCAAATAAGAGTATGAAAAATGTATGCACTCACTAACTGTAAGTCGCTCTGGATAAGAGCGTCTGCTAAATGACTAAAATGTAAAATGTAAGATGCATGTTTTGGAATATTTTTATTATGTACAGGCTTCCTTCTTTTCACTCTGTAATTTAGGTTAGTATTGTGGAGTAACTAAAATGTTATTGCTTCATCCTCAGTTTTCTCCTATCACAGCCATTAAACTGTTTTAACGTCACCATTGGCCTCATGGTGAAATCCCTATGTGGTTTCCTTCCTCCTCGGCAACTGAGTTAGGAAGGATGCCTGTATCTTTGTAATGACTGGGTGTATTGATACACCATCCAAAGTGTAAATAATAACTTCACCATTCTCAAAGGGATATTCAATGTCTGCTTTTTTAAATGTTTACCCATCTACCAATAGGTGCCCTTCTTTGCGAGGTATTGGAAAACCTCCCTGGGCATTGTGGTTGAATCTGTGTTTGAAATTCACTGCTCGACTGAGGGACCATACAGATAATTGTATGTGTGGAGTACAGAGATGAGGTAGTCATTCAAAAATCATGTTAAACACTATTATTGCACACAGAGTGATCCCATGCAACTAATTATGTGACTTGTTAAGCAAAGTTTTACTCCTGAACTTTATAGGCTTGCCATATCAAAGGGGTTCAATACTTATTGACATTTCAGCTTTTCATTTTTAATTAATTTGTAAAGATTTCTAAAAACATAATTCCACTTTGACATTATGGGGTATTGTGTGTAGGCCAGTGATACCAAATCTCAATGTAATCCATTTTAAATTCAGGCTGTAACACAACAAAATGTGGAAAAAGTCAAGGGGTGTGAATACTTTCGGAAGACACTGTAGCAGACACTTTTATCCAAAGCGACTTAGATAATATTTGATCACTATTATGCATGCAACATTTTACGCATGGGTGGTCCAGAGAATCAAACCCACTCTCCTGGCATTGCAAAAGCCATGCTCTACCAACTGAGCTACAGAGGACCACCTACAGCTACAGATGATGATAGTCTAGTAGCTAGTAGACAGTGTAGATGATAGATGTTACTCACAGAGAGTCCTGGAGCTCCAGG